TAAGTTTGTAAGAAGGATCAAGATATGTGAGAAGAACAATTCGATTATATATCACTCCTCGATAACATTATGCCGCAAGATATATTAAATTACCATACCGCAAGTGTATTACTCGTAAGACCAGGTGTGAATGTTCAAATGCCCTCTTCCACTACACTGAACACTATCTCCGGTGCTCAACAAGCCCCTTGAAAGATTGTATATGCACCCTAAATTTCAACCCTCTGATAAATCATACTCCAAGATCCAATTGAAAACACAAACTTATATATGTGATTGAATATTATGAACTTGTATAATCACTTATTAAAATGATACATAGCCAGGTTAAAGTAGTTAATAATAAGACCCTAAGGCTGATGTCTCCATTTTAATGTTCACCGGAATTATAAATTGCCAACCTCTTTCAGCCCAACTGAATGCAACAAAATAAGATATTATCTAAATTCAATTTACGTGTATATACCTAGGTCATGTGTTCATATTTCAGCTGTGAAAACGCTTACCGGCCCCAAATGAAGATGTATGTTGCAATGCGAAACCACTAAAATGACAGTAAAATTCCCTGTTAATATATGTTATCATATTTTAATAGGAAAACAAAGGCCAAGTAAGCTAAATTGATAGATAAACTGTAGTTGATTTGTAAATTCTTAAACGTTCTGTGATATTACAAAAGCGCTAAACATTGAAACTAAAAAACATGTTATGATGTTTATGATTTGTGAAGTTTTTTTAAACAACATTAAATGAATGGATACTTGATATAAAGGTTATGTATTCATGACGGTCACAGGGTCATTGGTTTTACATATACTACGTTATTCGAACAATTTACTATGATTGATGCGCATTCCCATCGTCATTATCTTACTGTTGTGAGGCGGATATGCCTCTCAACTGTTTGTAAAAGAGAAGTTAAGCCCCACACGACATAGATATATAATAAACTTCAAATACTATGTCGTTTCGGAGCATTCAGTTAAGTCGCAAAAGAGATTGACATGTTATAAATCCGGTGAACCATTTTTTATTAAGACAACCGCCATAGTGCCTTATTATTTATTGACTACGTGAAAACCTTGCCAAGGACCATTATTAAAGCTAATGTACACCTGTGATGTATTCAAATTGTATATGTGAATACCGATTTTCAATTGGGGTATTTGCATATGACGTATCGAGGTCTGAAGTTGTTGGTGACTAAATCGTCTTTTAGGGTCTTGTTGAACCATAACAGCCGATCTTACAAAAAGGCAACATAAGGCCGATTTTACAAAGTAAAAGAAGCAAAGCGTAAAATTGTAAACAAAAGTACACATCATACATCACCTTTTGGTAATAATTCATAGCTTAATTAGCCTTTCGCTGGGTCAATAGATACCAAAGGTCGTCAGTGAGAAATACACCGTTATACATGAATTAGTGTAGTGTAATATGGAATCGTTCTACGGGACTCGCTTTTTTATGTGAACAGTTTATTTAAAAACGTAACATACAACACTTTAAACTACAAATGTGATTTGATCGATATGTTAGCCCAAATCTGACAGTACATTTTCAACTACAAAACTAGTTAAACATGTACGGCACAGGGGTATAACGCGGTACAGTTTTGAGCAGAAAGAGTTCAAATATGTACCATAGCCCACATGAAGCTTCCAACCGCAATCCAATGCGTGCGCATCACTTCCGTTGGTTCATAGTTTGGTACCACTGGTAACTGTTATATATAGCTACGATGTTAGAATATCAGAACTAACTTAAAGCAACATTTAATCGCCAGAAAAGTGCTATTGATCAGGTTTTTCTTTGTAGACACAATTTTGTAAAGGTTCATGTTTACGTGTCGACACACTTCTCTTCTGTATCTCAAAATGGTTTAATAGAAACAACCCCAAAAGGTTTTCCAAAAGTTATTTCATCATTTCAAATGTAATGCAATTTTACAAATAATCAACACATATTTGAATGTTTACAAGAGACACGTTCTAATCCATATTGAGGTTTGAGTCATCAATATGAGTATAAATTATATTGCATCGTCTTCCAATATCATGAAATTTTGCCAATATTTGGTTATCGTAACTTTCCCCCTGAAACACTACACTGACACAGTGATGCCTGACCTTTGTTACTGTACCCCGTACACGTCCGGCCAGTCCGACATCGCGTCTCTTACCTAAATCCTAGTTACTGTAAAGTGAACCTTTTATTGCTCTTTCTCTCCGAATTGGGAATAAATAATTCACCCATTGAGTGGAAAGATCGTCAGGGAACCTTCTGTTTGACGGACATATGGACTTGTGTAGATATTTGTACAAAACAGTGTCGATAAAACAACAGGAGAACGACCTGGTAATTCCTTACTGATTGTCTTACTCCAATATTGTATTTTGTATCGATATCTCATTATACAGGCGTGAACAGTCGGTTTCAACCCGCACATGGTATCTATCTACACAGACCAATGTTCCAGCTTGACAAAAAATTGTTTCTGAAGGGGAGAAATGTATAAACAATACTAGTATACTCTTTGTTCCTGAATTCCTGTTAATTGTCGTCGACTTTGGGAAACAATTTGCTGTTTTTTCACGAGCATAAGAAAACATTTTCACCCACATGTATATGTTCAACTGAACGTAAAATAGCAGAAAGCCTTTCACCATGCTTAGCAAGGACACTGGATACGGTACAAAATGTTGATGTTATCCCGTCACCGACTGTTGTAACATGGTATAGCATAACGGGAAAAGCCATGTATGTAGCGTGTCAATATGTGAAAACAACCCAATGTGTGAAAACAACCCAATATGTGAAAACAACCCAATGTGTGAAAACAACCCAATATGTGAAAACAACCCAATGTGTGAAAACATGAAAAGTGTATATTGGGTTGTTTTCACATATTGACACGCTACATACTGGCAACATATGACGCATTGTAACGGGACGCGACTGGATGTACAATTGTGATACTTTATATTGAGGGTGAGCGGTTAGACGCTAGTTCATTGGTTCAGCCATGTATTATTCACAATAATGAGTAATACTTCCGTATGGAACCATCTGTTTCTACTGCAGGCCGGGCGTGTCTATATTTACAGCTGTCTGCTCCTCAAAATAGGACTCGATTAATATTGATGAACCTGAAGGCTAAAATCATTACCACCAACGTGTCGTTATTTCCCTGTACACTAAATGCAATACAAACTTTGTAACCATGATACGTTTAGGGGATAGCCCTATACTGTATTTGAAAGTTGCGGCTGTATATAGCAAAACCACTAAAAGAAACGGCGGGTTTAAGATATTTTTTAATGCTTTCTTCACAATCTGGGTCACTCTAACTGAGGTGGAATTACATTGACCTTTCGGGGTCACGCTATTGTTCGTGACGTCATGAATAATCAATTTCATGAATTTCATGACGTGTCTGTGTCAGTTGGGATCATTGACGTCATTCGGACTTCATATGCAAATGAGAAATTTGCGGACGGGATTTCGTAGTTATACTGTCGCAATTTATTTTCGTTGACCAATCGAATGTCGTGTTGCATCTCAAATGAATTAGAAACATGTTTCTACCATGTGATACAATCAAAACTCACGTCTGATTGGCTTGTGTCATAGTCCGCCATAGTTACTTAGGTATACAGGATATTCCAGAGTAATGTTTTACAGCAAATGCATATGAAAGGATTTACCGAAGAGATAATTTAGCTAAAATTCGGAGTAAAAAAAAAATCGAAAGATCGTAGCAAAATGTGAACAAAGGGAAGGATTTCATAAAAAGCCTAACCCTGAAAAAATACATCGAAAATACATAAAAACGTGTCATTATCTGGCTTTTCTAACTCGCGGATATTACACACCCAACTCCTACACACACTTGCAGATTTTACACACACTCATGTTGCATTAAATAGGTGGTAGATACACTCCTCAGGCTCAAATAATTAGTTCTTCTCTGACGGAACTTATATGACACGAGGGAAGTTTGAAATATTTGTTGGTCTCTAAGAAAATTTCTTTTGCTGAATGAAAGTAATACAAACACATATTTTTGTATCTGTAAGTTTTTTTAATTGATACAGTACGAGAAAATTCAATTACGCTGCATCATACAGCTGTTGCTTCCTTCTAGGACTCATCAGCTATGCTAGGGGCAAACATGTTGGCAATCCAAATTTCTCGTCCAGATTGATGTTGATACAGAAGAGGAGATGCATAAAACTCCTTTATTATATTAATATTATGAAATGCAAAAGTAAGATGATTACGCGTTGGTTTCAAATTAATAATGAATAAATAAAGCGTATTATGAACTATGCCACTACTCAATAGATATAAATGTGGCCATCAAGCTTAAGGTTACGGCAAACCTCGGCAACTAAGACGTCCGCCAGCAAAGTCCACTACCAGGTATATTGAGAGTTGAATTTAAGAGACGCACAGTACAGGTGATTGGACCTATACAATTTTGTAATTGATTTAGTAAGCCAAAAATGCATACACTGCCTTTGGAACAATCTACCCAACCCAACACATTTAGGACAACTAATAACTTCACTCACTTCAAATCTTTAATATCCTCCTGGAACGGTACACAATGTTAATGTTCAGCCTGCTAATGAAACCTCAACTCCATCCCCCTCACTTCTACACACCTTTCCTATCTCATTTTTAAACGTATTTTACCAGATCAGTGATAATTTATTGACTATATCACATGAAATCTGAAGTGTTTTATCTTATATAATATTTGTATTGCTTAAATATTGATATAGCACACTTGTCCAAGTGTGAACGTCTTTGTATGTAACATGTACGTCGGTGAAAAGTTCTATAGAGCCTATGTTATTTGTTTTACAATGCCAACCGACTTTAAATAAAATTTATCCTATCTTACTAAAATATGCAGCTGGTTTGTCCTCCTTTAACTCATCGGTTAAAAAAGTGGATAACCAAATTGGTCTAAACTGCTGTTTTCTTCACAGATGTGCACAACCGTGAACCCCTTGGTGACCGACGTAGCCTTATGGGTGCTGCACTGGAGGAACAATTCGAACCAAAAAAGGTAGAGTACCGGCAAATTTAAAACTGTACAGTAGAGTACAGGCAAATATATTACTGGGAAGTAGAGCACAGGCAAATATAAAACTGGTAAGTAGAGTACAGGCAAATATAAAATTGTACAATGTATAGCAGATAACTGGTCAATTTAAAACTTGGAAGTAGAGTACCGGCAAATATAAAACTAGAAAGTAGAGTACCGGCAAATATAAAACTGGAGAGTAGAGTACCGGCAAATATAAAACTGGAAAGTAGAGTACAGGCAAATATAAAACTGGAAAGTAGAGTACCGGCAAATATAAAACTGGAAAGTAGAGTACCGGCAAATATAAAACTGGTAAGTAGAGTACCGGCAAATATAAAACTGAGAAGTAGAGTACCGGCAAATATAAAACTGGAAAGTAGAGTACCGGCAAATATAAAACTGAGAAGTAGAGTACCGGCAAATATAAAACTGTACATTAGAGTACCGGCAAATATAAAACTGGGAAGTAGAGTACAGGCAAATATAAAACTGAGAAGTAGAGTACCGGCAAATATAAAACTGTATATTAGAGTACCGGCAAATATAAAATTGTACAATATATAGTAGATAACTGGTAAATTTAAAACTGGGAAGTAGAGAACCGGCAAATATAAAACTGGAAAGTAGAGTACAGGCAAATATAAAACTGTACTGTAGAGTAAAGGCAAATATAAAACTGGGAAGTAGAGTACATGCAAATATAAAACTACCGTAGAGGACAGGCAAATGTAAAACTTCGAAAAAGAGTACCGGCAAATATAAAACTGGGAAGTAGAGTACATGCAAAAATATTACTTATATAATATAGTGAGAAGGAATACAAATCATCGTGGACACTGTTCAGTATAAACTGTAGTTATCTGCCTATACTGACAATGTATCCTCTTGTATTAGCCAAATTACAAAGGTCACCCATTCAGGCTACAATTTCTCCTGTCAGGAGCCCTTGCAATCCTTATATTACTATATATGCGCTCAATTAATTATCAATTTGTAATAGAAAAAAAGTGGATGAATTCAGTTAATATGACTGAACTATTTCAATGCAAGCTATGACTCACTAAGTGAGTTTTTTTTTTTTTACCTGTATCGATAGGGAGCGTATACACTCGTGCATACTGCATCAGATAGGTTACAGGTAGGGTATATATATATATATTTATTACGCAGTCAAATTAAGTAACGCATTTAATTGTAAATAAATAATTTACTGCAAATGAAAAAGCAGACTACAACTGAAAAAGACACTTTGAATGTGATTTTAATCACTCAGTCATGCGTGTGTCATTACATTTCGGGGTCCGTTGCATCTGAAATATTGATACGGTTATTTGAAATTAAGTTAGGTCTCGGGTACGGGCATCAATAGTGTCTGTATGTAAAGCAATACCTAGGTATGTTATGGTCTATACAACTCATTCAATTCATATTGGGATAGCCACGTATGCTAATTAAATATTGAAGTTTTAATTCAGGAGTTTCTATTAATGACCAACAGTTGCTAGGAGAGAGCCTTTCAGCTCCCTACAAGCATACTGCCTAACATTTCAACAAACTAGACTAACGCTTTGCACGAAGTTTTGGTATTACTAAGCATAAATCCCTATTATGATGATTAATCCAAACACTGATCCCTGTTATAATCTAAACACTGACCTCTGTTATAAGCTAAACACTGATCACTGTTATAATCCAAATCTAATTTTATACTTGCATTGTAATTTGATTGCAATATCACAATTAAGAAATAAATATAAGAATAGGCAATGGCATGGTCGTACTCCATGGTTCTGAGGACGGTTTGGTCTGTAAACAAGTCTACTATACAATCTCTGGAGTTTTAGATGACCCAAAATGTCCTTCTCGAACAACTTTGAATTCATGTTATTGCTCAGAAAAAGAATAGATAACTGTATATATACCTATGTGATTAATTGTCATCAATGACACTGAAATAAGCAATATTCACTTGACTTTTATCTTGTGTTTTGTAGCACGCTGTGTCAGGGATCGAATCTCTCACTGCTGACTGGAGACAAGAGGCGACAATTTTCCCCACTGCAAACCTGACGAATCGTAAGTGACATCTTCAAAAGCAAGATACTGTATAAGTCTACATGTTGTTTTATTATAACGTGGTGGTATGGAAGTTTATTCGTGTATATTTTTTTAGGAATTGAAAACGATAACAAAAAGATAAAGAGTCGAACGAACTTGATTACAATGTCATGTCGAAAACGTCAAGAACAAGTAAAAAGGTCGTACGAACGCGATCAAAGGACGTTGATAAACGAGGTAAAAATTCGTACGAACGATAGTGAAAAACAAAATCATACGAACGGCCTAAAAACGGCAGAATTAACTTTGGAAAGTGAACTTTTTATCTCGTCCATACGACTTTTTTTCTCTTCCGTATGACTTTTACCTCTTTTGGTCGACATTTTATCTCAATTATACGTCTTTTTATCTCGTTCGCACGGATTTCGAACTCGTTGCGATTGGGTTGATGTGCTTACAATGCTTTATGTGAGTTACCCTTGTTAAACAAAACATCCGTAACCATCCATGCAAAGACCAAAACCATATATCATAGATCTCAATAAAAATAATAACAATCTACACTTTGTATATAAATTCTTTTTTCTACGTACAAACTTAAATAATTTAGTAAACTGTAACACATACAGAGTAAAACATCGCTATACTGCCAATATTTTCCGATATAAAATATGGCGTTATAAAGGGGTTTGGCATTAAATAGAGGGCAGTGTATCAAGGAAATCGCAAGAAAATGAAAAAAAGAGACATTGAGATATATTGGCGGTAAACGAGTTGGCAAATGAAGCGAGGGGCATTATATCGAGGGTTAACGGTATTATCGTTCTGGTGCGCATGCCCTGTCCTTACACTCCATTGTTTACCTTACAGGTCTGTTGACGATCGGGATACCGACAATTCAGCGACAGAAGAGCACCTACTTCTTTAATACGCTCGAGTCATTATTCAATTGCACTACCAATGCCGAGCTGCCTGACATCTACATCGTTATCTTCCTTGCTGATTTCAACGAGGAGTGGAAGGAAAACATCACCAACACTCTGACCCGGAAGTATTCCTATTATATCCGGTCAGGCCTGTTACAGGTCGTCCACGCACCACGCAACTTTTATCCGTCGCTGTCAAATCTACAACATACTTATAACGACCCAGAGGAAAAACGGAAGTGGCGTTCAAAACAAAACGCTGATTACGCATTTCTGTTTATGTACGCAAAACCGTTGTCCACATATTATATGCAGTTGGAGGACGATGTATACACTGTGCCGGGGTACATGCAAAGTATCAGAGAGCATATACAGAAAGAATCGCAAGGATGGGTGTGTCTGGAATTTTCCGAATTAGGATTTATAGGAAAGTTGTTCCATTCTAAAGATTTGGAAAAATTAGCTAAAATAACATTATTATTTTACGAGGAACAACCTGTGGATTTCACATACTTGTATTTTAATATATTAATGTTACAATTTGAAAGACGGATTATTCATCCGACTTTGTTTCAACATATTGGTGTACAGTCATCACTCAATGGGAAAATTCAGCCATTGAAAGATAAATATTTTGACGTTATGAAAAAGCAGTTTAATGGAGATAATCCACCTGCTAAAGTGTTCACTACCATAGAAACGATGCCAGATTTCCCGCCACAATTGGCTTACGAATTGAGCGACGGCTATTTTTGGACCCACATGGCACCTAAAGATAAGGACACTATTACAATCGTATTCAATACACCACAGCATATTGACAAGGTAATCATAGATACGGGTTCAAAAGAACACCCGACCGACCGTCTGGAGAACGGCAAGCTTGATGCTAGCCTCAGTTTGGTCGAGAAAACTGACACATTAGCCGTGTGTACAAACGACATTTTCCTTGGCACATTTCAAAACGGGATGATAAAAGTGACAGATTTAGGGAAAAAACTAGGCCCTTTCACGGTGCACTGTCTTCGTGTAACAGCAACTGCAGACCAAGCGTTTTGGCTGATTGTTCGTGAAATAAGTGTGTTTACCAGTAAAGAACTAGAAGTCAAACAACCTATCAATGCATAGACAAGTGATTGCTTTCAAATGCCTTTTTTCTGTTGGCAAAAGTAAGCATTTTAGAATTCCACTTTTGTGTTTCATCGATTTTCAGAAAAGCAATATCCGCAAAAGTCTCCATAGCTTTAACGAAGCGAGGTACCGCTTTTATTGGCCTTAGGACACAGGACATCGAATTGGAAAGAAGTCCGTCCGAAAAACTGCTCGACTATTTCTCGACCTTTTATTGCTACTTGTAATATTTTCCTAATACTTGCTCAGTTGATTCGAATGGCAAGAGGCCACGGTGGCCAAGTGGTTAAGGCGTCTGACATTCTGCTACCACTAGCCCTCCACCACTGGGTCGCGGGTTAGAGGCCTATACGTGGAGCAGTCGCCAGGTACGGTACTGGCCATAGGTCGGTTGTTTTTCTCCGGGAACTCTGGCTTTCCTCCACCACAGACACGTCCGTAATTAACCATAGCTGTTAATAGGACGTAAAACACAAACACACCAAAACAAACCCAAATCGAAGTGGCAACGACGACAATAGTTGGAGGATATTCTACAAGGGATTTTTTGTCAAAAGGCCATATAATAATAGTACAATGCAAACCAAGCGTTTTGGCTGATTGTTCGTGAAATAAGTGTGTTTACCAGTAAAGAACTAGAAGTCAAACAACCTATCAATGCATAGACCAGTGATTGCTTTCAAATGTCTTTTTTTTCTGTTGGCAAAAGTAAGCATTTTAGAATTCCACTTTTGTGTTTCATCGATTTTCAGAAAAGAAATATCCGCAAAAGTCTTCATAGCTTTAACGAAGCGAACATATTTTGTTGCATTTTCAACTCCATTGCTTGTATATTTTCACATATTGCACTCATAAACATGTATCGAAATAAATTTTATAAGCTAAATGTATCTACATATTCCAAGTGAAATATAAGGTTTTCAACGGTGAAATCAAGTTCCTGTTTATTCTTGTGTAAAAAAATACAATGTATTTTTGTTTTACATTTAACAGACCAAAGATTCTCATTTCCTGTGGAAAAGACAGCTTTGTTTGCAATTTGAATTCGACGTCATAATCAAATGGGCCGGGGGCATTGACGATTAGCCATGTCCCTTCAGTAGCTTATATACATGTATATAGTATGTCTGTCAATATCGGGTGTAATAAAATAGGAAAACCTTTCGTATTTTTATGAGCATCAACTAATTCCAACTAGTGGAATGAACATTTTTCATAGATATGTTTAATTTTTATGTAATATGTTTTGTGAAGACTACTAGAGATATAAAATAGCGTTTATTGTTTTTCTATGTAATATGTATACATCATTTTAGACTGTTCTGTTATTTACCTGGAAGAGAGGCCTTTGTAAATGAACAGTTGCCCTAAAATAAATAAGATTTCGAGATACCATGTTCTTCATTAAACCACATTTTGTCGGTCTTTTTCAATATAACATCTTTGGTCTTTTGGGGAGGACATTGAGTTTCCAGTATAATAATATAATTATATTTTGAAGGCAATCAGCCGCTACTTAAAGTATAACTGTTTAGACAGCACGGCGTCAATTATCATTGTGTTCGCCAATGATGTTTGCATAGTGATTAAATATACTTGAGTATCTTGCATGTGATGCTATTTTTTGCTATGACACTTCTCTAACAACTCTCCATGATGCCTTCTAATGGTAAGCCCACAAAAGGCACGAGTGAGTGTGTATTAAACCTTTCGCATTGATTGGCTGAAATTTTGATGTGATTTTGATTAAATTTATCTCAGTGACTAAGTAATGAGCGCTGCTCTCTCTGTCTATCTCTCTCTGTTACCTATGGCAAGCCGTTTTAACATTAAATACCATTTCATCTTTAGGTAAAATATACTTCAAATGTATTTCACTTAAGTGAAATTCTTTTTACCTAAAGATATATAAACGTTTTTTTGCATTATGTATTATTTCACTTAAGTAAAATATAATTTAACTTAAGTGAAATATTTTTTATTGACCTTAATTATATAAGAGGAAATCTTTTAAACTTACGTAGAAACAAAACATAATGCAAATAAATATTATCCAACCTCTCATCAATATTGGACTGGTCCACTTATTGGCTCATCATTGTGTGTATTGTTAAACCAATCGGAGCAATCGTTTTTATTTCAAAATGATTCCTGAGCAGTGTACATGCAAATAAAACTTTTCAAGTTCACTTTGTCATATTTCTTTATTACCCGGTTTGTCAAGCCTGTATTGGTATCTGAACCGTACTTATCCAGATCACAGGGACCTGATAATTTGTTACAAGCTATATTTGGACTTAAATTAAATTAAGGTGTTTTGAGTTATTTTATACGTTTGGGGGAGTTTAGAAGGATTTTTGATCTAAAACCCCAAAACGTGTAAAATTACTCAAAACACCTTAGTTTAGGTCCAAATATAGCCGAAACAATATCTCGGGTCCCTGTGATCCAGATCATCACTGACACCAGTAACGGACGGAGAACTTGACCCTGAATGGCGATCATCCTTGATGTAGGGATCCTGATAGCATTGCATTATCCACACATGAATTTATCACTTTATTTTTGACAGTTTATTCCCCGCCAGTACCTTAACAGTAGTGACCTGAAGAATGTGCTGAACTCTTATTGCACATTTACACGTAAGCACTCTCATTGCAAATGTTTAACTTTATGAAACCGAAGTTCTGAGATAAAACTCCAGAAACAAGAATGAGGACAGACGGGTTGACGGACACCGCGATTACAATGCGACACCTAACACCATGAAACTGAACATAAATACATATATCTTTATTTCACTTTGAGGCAATATGTTTATACTTAAAACAGAGTTATCTCCCTTCTTGCACTATACCATATAAAAATATATAGTTAAATTACCTCCCTTCTCACTACAGATAACAAAGGAATTCAACGGATCATACACATATTTAAAATTAAATCTGATTATAGACATAGAAAAGATAGATATATCTTGTAAAAACATAGAAAATGTACATTTGATTAAATCTAACAGAGCATCAATCAGATAATAACAGTTGACAAACATTAATGAAGCACACATCGGATTTCTTCATACACGATGGATGGAACAAGACATGTATTGATTTTGGTGAAGCTGTGTCAAGCTAAATGAAAAATATGGGGAAAGTTGATAATGAATCATAAGGATCCCTGTACCACTGCCAAAAAACTTCACAACATTAAAAACCTTTCCCCTACATGACTAAAGCTTTGATTAAGCATTTCTTAAAACAAAATCATATTTTATAAAACTAATATGGAAAATTAACAAGCATCAAATCAACAACAAAGAATCAGTATTTTGATTGTAAAAACACTACGGGGCCAGACCAGACCTGGATTCAAGCCCATTTGGTTTTGAGGGTCCAGCAGCTCTTATAGAGCAATGCCTTCAGCGACATAACCACGCACCAATTGACATCATTTGTTAGATGCGTTCCCCTAGCGAAAATAACTATAGCTATGTAAAAGATGTGCACTGATTAAGTTGCCTTACAAGCGTCAGCTGTAGGGAATTTCTCTTTAGCTCAGCTGTAGAGCATCGGGCTGGAGAGCCAAGGGTCGTGGGTTCAAGCCCCAGTGACAGCACTATCTTTATCACTGTTCCTCGTTCTACTACAGCTATGCATACAATATATACTTATCCATCTGACAAAATTACGACACGGACTCATTCACTGCATACTTGTAATAACATATAACATAGGAGAAGTGTGATGAAAAGGACGAAAGATTCAACTTGATCGATCTGATTATTTGTCAATGATCAGCACAATAAACAGAGGGATTCTGTGTTTTTACTCAATACTTAATAAAGGTACACCCTCACATAAATGTTCATACATAAATGTACATCCTAAAATGGAAGGTACATCCCCAAATGGAGGTACATCCTCACATAAACATACATCCTCACATAAACATACATCCCCAAATGGAGGTTCATAAACATACATCCCCAAATGGAGGTACATAAACATACATCCCCAAATGGAGGTACATCCTCACATAAACATACATCCTCACATAAACATACATCCTCACATACATCCTCACATGAACATACATCCCCAAATGGAGGTACATCCTCACATAAACATACATCCTCACATAAACATACATCCCCAAATGGAGGTACATAAACATACATCCCCAAATGGAGGTACATAAACATACATCCTCAAATGGAGGTACATCCTCACATAAACATACATCCCCAAATGGAGGTACATCCTCACATAAACATACATCCCCAAATGGAGGTACATCCTCACATTAACATACATCCCAAAATGGAGGTACATCTTCACATAAACATACATCCTCAAATGGAGGTACATCCTCACATAAACATACATCCTCACATAAACATACATCCCCAAATGGAGGTACATCCTCACATAAACATACATCCTCACATAAACATACATCCCCAAATGGAGGTACATCCTCACATAAACATACATCCTCACATAAACATACATCCCCAAATGGAGGTACATCCTCACATAAACATACATCCCCAAATGGAGGTACATCCTCACATAAACATACATCCCCAAATGGAAGTACATCGTCATATAAACGTACAATCCGAAAGTGGAAGAACATCCCCATATAAAGCTATATAAAGATAATGGAATGTTTTAGTCCTTCATTTTGTATTGGTGATTTTTTGTGAACTTACATGTACATATATGTATGAATGGACTGACAATTCAAAATAAGAGTAGAAGTCCTTCCTCTAAACTTAGGTGATCACATATCAATATTTTTCCAAATTCTTCCTCCTGATGACTTCACAGACAACTGGGGAATGATCAGGGTTCAACAAAAACAGATGCTGTGCCACAGAATAGCAACCGCACACATTACCACTGACACGTATGGGGTACACAGTAAAAACATCACAAATCATCATCATCAACCCGTCATGGGTTTCAGTTGAAAGGTCAAATATTATCACACTGACGGGTCATGATCAGGGGTCCCATTTGAAATACCATGCATCACCATTGGCTCATCAGGCATAACAGTGGTAAGTTGATGATCAGGTGTCAAAGCAGTAGGGTGGCGATCAGGTGTCACAGCAGTAAGGTGGCGATCAGGTGTACTGACAGGTCATGATCAGGGGTCCCATTTGAAATACCATGCATCACCATTGGCTCATCACGCATAACAGTGGTAAGTTGATGATCAGGGGTCAAAGCAGTAGGGTGGCGATCAGGGGTCACAGCAGTAAGGTGATGATCAGGTGTCACAGCAGTAGGGTGGCGATCAGGTGTCACAGCAGTAAGGGGGCGATCAGGTGCCACAGTAGGAAGGTGGCTATCAGGTGTCACAGCAGTAAGGGGGCGATCAGGTGTCACGGCAGTAAGGTAGGGATCAGGTGTCACAGCAGTAAGGTGCCAAGCTCAGGTGTCACAGCAGTAAGGCGATGATCAGGTGTCACAGCAGTAAGGGGGCAGTCAGGTGTCACACCAGTAAGGTGGCAATCAGGTGTCACAGCAGCAAGGTGGCAATCAGGTGTCACAGCAGTAAGGTGGCGGTCAGGTATCACAGCAGTAAGGTGGCGATCAGGTATCACAGCAGTAAGGTGGCAGTCAGGTGTCACACCAGTAAGGTGGCAATCAGGTGTCACAGCAGCAAGGTGGCAATCAGGTGTCATAGCAGTAAGTTGGCGATCAGGTGTCACAGCAGTAAGATGGCGATCAGGAGTCACAGCAGTAAGGTGGCGATCAGTTGTCACAGCAGTAAGGTAGCGATCAGGTGTCACAGCAGTAAGGTGCCAAGATCAGGTGTCACAGCAGTAGGTGATGATCAGGTGTCACAGCAGTAGGGTGGCGATCAGGTGTCACCGCAGTAAGGTAGCTATCAGGTGTCACAGCAGTAAGGTGGCAGTCAGGTGTCACAGCAGTAAGGTGGCGATCAGGTATCACAGCAGTAAGGTGGCAGTCAGGTGTCACACCAGTAAGGTGGCGATCAGGTGTCACAGCACTAAGGTGGCGATCAGGTATCACAGCAGTAAGGTGGCAGTCAGGTGTCACACCAGTAAGGTGGCAATCAGGTGTCACAGCAGTAAGGTGGCGGTCAGGTATCACAGCAGTAAGGTGGCGATCAGGGGTCACAGCAGTAAGGTGGCGATCAGGTATCACAGCAGTAAGGGGGCGATCAGGTGTCACGGCAGTAAGGTAGGGATCAGGTGTCACAGCAGTAAGGTGGCGATCAGGTTTCACAGCAGTAAGGTGGCGATCAGGTTTCACAGCAGTAAGGTGGCGATCAGGTTTCACAGCAGTAAGGTGGCGATCAGGTATCACAGCAGTAAGGTGGCGATCAGGTATCACAGCAGTAAGGGGGCGATCAGGTGTCACAGCAGTAAGATGGCGATCAGGAGTCACAGCAGTAAGGTGGCGATCAGTTGTCACAGCAGTAAGGTGGCGATCAGGGGTCACAGCAGTAAGGTGGCGATCAGTTGTCACAGCAGTAAGGTGGCGATCATGTGTCACAGCAGTAAGGTGCCAAGATCAGGTGTCACAGCAGTAAGGTGGCGATCAGTTGTCACAGCAGTAAGGTGGCGATCATGTGTCACAGCAGTAAGGTGGCAGTCAGGTGTCACAGTGGTAAGATGATGATCAGGTGCCACAGTAGTTAGATGATGATCAGGTGTCATAGCAGTGAGGTGGCGATCAGGTGTCACAGCAGTAAGGTGATGATCAGGTGTCACAGCAGTAAGGTGGCGATCAGGTGTCACAGCAGTAAGGTGGCGATCAGGTGCCACAGTAGGAAGGTGGCTATCAGGTGTCACAGCAGTAAGGTGGCGATCAGGTATCACAGCAGTAAGGTGGCGATCAAGTGTCACAGCAGTAAGATGGCGATCAGGTGTCACATAGGAAGGTGGCTATCAGGTGTCACAACAGCAGTAAGGTGATGATCAGGTGTCACAGCAGTAAGGTGGCGATCAGGTATCACAGCAGTAAGGTGGCGATCAGGTTTCACAGCAGTAAGGTGGCGATCAGGTGCCACAGTAGTTAGATGATGATCAGGTGTCACAGCAGTAAGGTGCCAAGATCAGGTGTCACAGCAGTAAGGTGGCGATCAGGTGTCACAGCAGTAAGGTGGCGATCAGGTGTCACAGCAGTAAGGTGGCAGTCAGGTGCCACAGTAGTTAGGTGATGATCAGGTGCCACAGTAGTTAGATGATGATCAGGTGTCATAGCAGTAAGGTGGCAGTCAGGTGTCACAGTGGTAAGATGATGATCAGGTGTCACAGTGGTAAGATGATGATCAGGTGTCACAGTAGCTAGATGCTGATCAGGTGTCACAGTAGTTAGATGATGATCAGGTGTCACAATGTATATGAAGTTAGGTGATGATCAGGTGTCACAGTAGTAAGATGATGATCAGGTGTCACAGTAGTTAGATGATGATCAGGTGTCACAATGTATATGTAGTTAGGTGATGATCAGGTGTCACAGAAGGTGGCGATACCTTGGGTTGATGTCCAATCGACAATCTGGACAAGGGAACTCTTTTGTCAGAAAAGGATCATACCTGTTAAAAAAAGTAGATGACAAAGTTTTAGTACACAAGTTTTAAACATTGTACATCAATGAAATATATGTTGAAAAAAATAAATAAAGGTAAATATTTCATTCCATACATGTACATCCCAACAAAATTTGAGATGCAAAAGATGAGAAAAGGGCCATAACTCTTGAGCTCTCTATTGCGAGACACTCTGAAATCCTAAGAGGTACTATCATTTAGCATTGATAGGTGATATAGTAATATATATCATACATCATATATGGCTCATACGAAGTAGCCCTGGTCTGTGGCCAGCAAAGGCCAGTTATTCTATACAAGACCTGATTTCAGTATGTGGCATGTTGACATGCAAAGAGATACTGACATACAAAATGTGTTGTGACCTACAGATTATACATTGTAGAGCTGAGGAAGGTTTAGCTATATATAGCAAAACATTCACATGGATCAAGTTCCACATGTATGAGATTTGATTAAAGAGTACTTCTAATTCAAAGGTTTTCAGGGGTAACAACTCTGAATATATATAACCCCATGAAAATAACTCCTGGGTTTTTTTAAAATCAAAAAACGTTATTTAGTGAATTTCCATAAGATTTCATATAACATTATTCTTTTTAGAAATAAAGATGTCAGTTTGATATATTACTGGAAAATTGTTATCTATAACAATTCATTAGTTGAATTTTCAAAACAAAATTAATGATTAACTTTGATTTTAAAAATAACATCATTGTTATCTTTTTATGACACTTCTTTATAAGGCCCCAAAACAATATGTGTGTTTCAGGTATCCTGACCTACCCTAGATTTTACTGCCGACCCTTGATATTTTATCACCAACTTGTATCTAAGATTAATTTATTAGCCAGGCAAAGTTCACAGCTACTCATTAAAATGTTCTTTCTTCCTGCTCTGGGAGTCTGACCATATTCTTGACTAATTAATACCCATTGTTATGTGTGGAAATGCATTGTAAAGTTTGAAATAAAGCATAATATATTAATTCACAAAAAAATAAAAAAATAACATTAAAATAAAATTATTTGTCTACTGACCTACCCTATTTTTTTCAGGCATGTATTGAAACCTGAAACATATTTTTTTAGCCTAAAACAATATTTAGAGGCATTTCAACTCTCTTTATACATTGACCGGACTGACCAGAAGTTCACTGCGAGGTTGTGTCTGGCTGTACGGCTAGGGGATGACTGGACCTCGTGCCACCAGAAACTTGGCATGAAGAGGACGTCTCCTTCCATTAATGTGCAGTTTAGGGGCATGGCTGATGCAAAACGTGGAAACTTCTGAAAAAGAGTAAAATTATTTTTATAGCAGTTAACCCTTTCACCCCTATATAACTTTAGTAACCTCTACCATGCATTGATCTGGATGAGTCCATTATGGTCCACAGTATATGTGGTAAGTGGTATATATGGTAAGAATTATCATTTGTCATTTTAAATGCTGAAGTTGCCATTTTCCCATTGATAAAAACTATCTCGCATCTTCAAATTTAATGCACAAAACAACTCACTTGAAAAAAAAAAAAATTGAAATACATTCATAAATCAAAAATGAAATTAAATATATTTCCGTCAAATTGATTACGAGAAAATCTCTTGACTTAAAAATCCTCCATAGCCTTACTATCAGAACTAAATAGCAAAAAGTTTGAACAATGATACTTGGGAATATTGACATTTGGTACTTATGTACATGTATAACCACACGAACATTACATGGAAACCAGTTCATACCAGACATTCAGGTTTATATCAGGTTGGTGCGAGTGTATTTATTTCTATAAAAGAGGCCCATAAGCCTTAGCAGTCACCTGAATTGTAATACAATTGTTGATTTAATGTTGAGCTGATGTGAAAAAGAAAACAGTACATATAATCTTGTAATCCAAATATGGATTTTTAACTTAATTGCTGACAAAATGTTGACATAATTAAAAGCTGGTACATGTAACTGTCAGAAAGCAGTAAAATAATAGAATAATATTGTATATATAGTAATATAGCAAATATAACACCATCGTCAATGGGGGATAGAGACCTTTGGTAATGATCAAAATTTACACACATATATATTTGACCCTTCACTACTGTCCATTAAATCAATCAAAAACTCATTAAAATCCCATTATAATCCCATGAATTTTACCGAAAACATTAAAAACACCCATTATTTCGTGTATGCACTTTATTGCTAAAACACCATTAATTCCTTTTTAATGGCAATCTAGCTTGTTTTGTGTCCCACCTTCCAAGTCCTAAATGGTCAGGTCTTACTTCTCTATATCATTAAACTGCAATCACATGATTACAGTTTCAACAAACAAGTGTGAATTATTTCCAACTAAAAATAAAAAAAATAAACCAAAAGTGTTATTTCCCTAAAATATATTTTTTTATCTATAGTAAACTTTACTCCTCCCAAGGGGCAATGGGTGACCAGTGGGTAATGAAATACTAAATTTACACATGCATGATAAAGCATATAGGACACTTTTCTTTGTCCCACCCTCAGAGGTCCTCGGGATGAGCCAAGGTCTAAGTTTCATATCATGAAACCTGTAATGATAAGATTTTTATTCCAACTAAGTTTTAATCATTTTTTGGTAATAAACAAAATATACCAAAAGACTGGAGAAGACTTTTGAAATTTAGACAATACGACCTGCCTCTTAGGCACCTTGATGGTTAAATCTGAATATATATTGTTGAAAACTGATTTCAACGGTTTAGGTGAAAAATAAAAAATGTGAATTGTTTTTATATGGACGGATGATGCAGGACGAAGGAAAAAAGTTCTGTTCAGAAAACTTTAAACTCACAATTAAAACATACATGTATCTCACTGTCACAATTGTACAGTCGTGATAACTTGAAAAGTCTTTTATTTAACACATTAAAAAAAAACAATCTTTTAATTACCATAATCATACTAGCGAAAGTTAGTAAATCTGGGGAAGACTCCAAGCTTCAGAAGCACTGAAATGATTTGTTTGCTTTGTTATACACAAATATACCTCAAAATCTGGTCTCAGAATGTCAACAGGGGACATAACCATGGAGGTACTGTCCACTAGTGTGCGGCGCCGGAACTCTCCTGTTGTTTTGTTGTAGGAAAGAATTGCTTCTGGAATGTGGGCCTCATAGAGATTTTCATTTTTCTGTGGATCAAACAGTATCACTTCTTTCTGTCCGTGTATCTATAAAAATTGAAATACTGAAATGCATGTCTTATCTCACATCTTATTCATGGAAATTACCAAATAGATATAGCTTTATGCAAAAAATACATACTGTTACATACATATCACCACAATTATGTGAAATGGTTTTCTATGCAAATTTTAAGATTTTAAGTACCACAATCAGACCACAGGGGCATGCAACTACTGTTAATGTTTATCTTGTTAGACTTTCAGTCGCTGGGTACGTTGTACTGAGTTGATATTGTTAGACTTTCATTCGCTGGGTACATTTAAACCAATACAATGTACCCAGTTCTGAAATTCTAACAAGATCAATATTAATAGTCGCTGCATGCCCCTGTGAACAGACTGAAACAGTAATCAGAAATTACTTTTTCTAACATTCAAAATGGTATTTTACACAGGTGTATTTGTAAAGACTTCTTTCCTTTGTTTGAAAAATGATTATTATATCAAAAAGGTAAACAAATCTCTTTTACCTGACAAAGAAAATTATCATACGGATCAAAGTGAAGTTTCCCCAAGGTGTTTCCGTCACTAAGCCAGATGTTAAGATGTTCCAATTTATGGACTCCTGGCCGAATAAATGGCATTTCTTTGATGTCATCTTCTAAATCTGGTAGATGCTGACGAATCGATGAATATTCTAAATAAGCTGATACGTTTTTCAGCTCTCCACTGGTAACGTTTTCAATCATATCCAAAAAATCTGAAAACTTTAAACTAAATGATGCTGGTCGTACAACAACTAATTCTGGATGTTGGAGTTGAACTTTGACTTCATGTGGAATGGAAAAAGATTTGAAATTTTCCCAGAGATCAGCTTTTTCAACTCCCTCAAATTCTCCTCTTGGTGTCAACTTAATATAAACATCATAATTACCATATTCTTTTTTGAAATACTCATTTGTCCATTTCTGAAATGCAGGCCATGACTTAGTCATATTTGTTATGATAACTGGTTTTGAAATTTTTAAGTATTCATGGAAAAATTGTTGAGTAGAAGGTGCAGTGATTCTTTCACATTGCGGAATTTCTTTATCATTTTGAACTTTATGAACATCAAAATTACTTCTGTCGCAAGTATTCGTTTCACCGTCCTCCATACTTTTCACAGTGGGACAAGACTCATATTCATGTGTAATGTGAAGCATTTCTTCATCACTTGTTTTAAAACCATGTTTTCTTTCTCCTGAGTAATCTTCCTGTTCATCCAATGTATTCATTTTTTCTGACGATGACCACTGTGTCGTTACAGTTTTCTTACTTGATAACATTATGTCCTCCATAGTAACATCTGAAATCTGTGCTATGGAGAAGAGTGAATTTAAAATTTCTTTTCTGTGATAGCCTTCAATACTTAGCCCCCCAATAGAAGACCTGTATGTGTGACACTTGCTGTTGATAAAGTCAGTAAGACTTTCACGGCCTACAAATCCAGAGTAAAGAACAGGGCGGAGAGCGGACGGACTTTTATTTACCGACAAGCAAGTCCTATCTGGGATTCTCCTTTCAAAAATAATAATCTCCGCTTGACTTGAATGCGAAGCGGACTGTACAGATAATCGTTCTCCATTAGGCCATTCAAACGAAGTGACCCCAACTAATCCTAACATCACAACAGGTTCTTCGATAAATGTGGTGAGGGCCAACTCATCGAAAATACTTGACGTGTCCATGTCGGAAAACTCAGTCAACAAAACTAAGCACGCATTGTCAACAGATGATAGTATATCAGCCGGAGAAAACATGTTATGGCAACTGACAGACGATATGATGATATTGATGAACAAAGTAATAAGCAAAAAACAGCATTTTTCTGGTTTGTTGTCTCTGGGCCGGTGTTGACACCTGGAAGCAGCCATCTTGAATTTAAAGGTAAGGGGACACCACTTCGTATAAAAAGACGAAATGTGGTCCCACACCATCAACATTGCTGCTTATTTGTTAATATTACAGATATTTTCATTCGGTCTATAAAAATCAGCAAATAACATTTACACACATTGTCGTGTCATACCATTATTAACAGTGGCACACGAGGATACACAGATAGAACACGTGTTGGAGAAAAATATAAATGTTTTATATACTTATAATATCTCAGTATTCACCGAAACATCAACTTGATGTACCGTAGCGCTAGCTATCACCGTGACGTTCACCTTATCGTGAAAATATCTTAAATCATTAAACGAATTCTCCTCATATCATGTAAGACTTTAAATAGGACTATCTAATACATGTTATATATAATCGTTATTAAAACAGTAATTTTGGACAATATTTTTATCCTGGCGTTTAGAGATGTGTTAGGATATCTATATTTTTTCCCATTGAATACCATACATGTATGATATTTCACGGGTATGACAGTCCATAGCGAAATATCGTTATAATCTGTCCTACCTACAATATATATATGGTATTCCTTGGGAACATATCAAATTTTCCATTTATTTCATTTCTACAGCAAAACGACGAAAAACCGCAGCATCTGACATCACAATGATAACAAGCCTGTGTGATGTTTTGAATGGTTTGCCCAACGTAATTCTACTGTCTGGTGCTATTTTCAGATAAGATTTTCTCATAACTTGAAAAATCTTACTGCGAGTTGAAAAGATACATGCAATCAATTGTTTTGTCACGGAATAGATTCCGTGGTTTTAGGACTGTTCTACTTTAGGTACTCTCACATCAATGGCGGATCGTTAAAAGTTGTGTAGTCTAATATGTGTAGATTGAAAAATCCATCAACATCGGCGTTATAGAATTACTTGAGTTACGTATTCAGGGAATATCATTTTAAGTAGCCACATTGAAAACACAACATGTGGATGTCAAAATTTACGGACACCATCGTCGGACGACTAGGTGATGGGAGAAATGCGACGAGCCAAGCCTAACAAAGGAGCATGGCGGACCCGGTGATCAGTTTTCGGTTGAGTATAATCGGTCCATAACTGTGAGTATGAACTGTCCTACTACTTTATCGAGCCAAGAAGTATACTATGAGTACCGGTAAACTTGTTAAATACCTTCGAAAATTTGAGGACAATGTGGATTGTGATATCTTACGCAAGCTCAAACGTAAACTCGTGGTTTTGAGTGAAGTTGAAAAATCCATCGTGTGGCTCGTGAAACCAGGAAAAAATAGTACTTTCCTGATCAACTACGCTATAGAGGAGATACATTCTCTTGTCAAGCGGTATGGAAGTATTCTGCTAGCCAATTGGGCTGGTACGTACGTGTGACTTAACAAAAAAAACCAAAAAACGATCGATTCATCGACTTCAACAGTCAAGTTTCTTCATCAGAAATTATTAGTAACTACGAGCGGCTACAGGAATACACTCATAAGTTTGGGAAGAATGTTAATGTCGTATTCTTGGAGTGCCCCTATTATTCTATTGTCATATGGAACCAAGTCAAAGGTCACCAGGACCCCGAATCTTTCCGGGAAAACACTAAGGTGTTGGAATCTAGTGTAACAACTTTACACGAGAAGATTCAAGAACTTAACAAAACAATATGTGTAAAGTTGCCACGTTTCTCCTGCGACATGCTCAAGAGCAGGAAAAGTAACAAAACCCACACAACAACAAAGGTCTCTTATAGTCTACTATCAGACGGAGTTCATCCAGGGGAAATCTTAAGTAGAGCTTGAATTGGTTGAGGAAGATTGTAGTGGTCCTAATACAACAACACTGTATAACTGTCTAAGATAAATATGCCATATTCCTAATTAACTAGAACATAGACTGGGTACAACAATAATAAATATGGAGGAAAACAGTAGATTGGAAGATACCGGCGAACCGTCACAAAGTAGGAAACGCTACAGAAACAACGAAGGGAAGGTCTGCAGTAAATGTGAGGGAAACGTCAACGACCTTCTTGTATGCAAAGGGTGCCAGCTTACCTATTGTAATGACTGTACTAAATTTTCTTAAGGTAATAGGATTGTGTCACCATTTCTCAGTCGAATGTCTTCAAATTTTGTAGTTATATTGATACTGTCTCCCTACATTGGATTTTCAACTAGGGACTTACTTCCTATTTCCGTTTATCACTACACTCCTATGACCTTAAGACGTATTCAACTTTATGCTTAAAAGTCCTACAAGTTTAGGGGTGACCTACTTATGCAAACCGTGTAACAAGACACAGCAACTATTGGGGGAAATACGAACTACCTTAACCGAGTTCACCAGGTCAAACGATGCCAGAATGAATACGCTGGAAAACAAAATATCAGACCTCGAAATTAACACAAGGTCTATAATTAAAGAAGAGGTAATACAGGCACAGGCAGCAAGTATGTCCAATTTTAAATTTGACATCAACCGACTAGTAGACCAAAGAAACAAGGACCATGAAGACAGGCGTAACAAAGAGAAAAACATCATAATGTTTAAAGTACCAGGAAAAACAGAAATCAGCCAAAAACTCGTAATGGAAGAAGCTAGTCGAGCGAGACATACACACAATTGCCGAAACAGCAGGGGTAACAGACCTAGAAATAACTGCGCAGTTTAGGATGGGGAAACCAGCCAAGGACAAAATACGCCCCATGGTCGCTGTACTGGGAAGAAAAGACCAACGATATTTTTTTCTAGAGAAAGCCAGAGATATGGCAACAAAAGTCCCCGACAACTTAAATAGGGTAGTGGTAACTAGGGACCTGACCCAAGTACAGAGACAGGAAAGGAGGGACAAACTAGCAGCTAGGCAAGCTGGTACCATACATGATGAGGACACACCGAAAAGAGACGCACCTAAACTCATGCCATTTCCATCTCACCTAATGCGAGCTGGGGGGCTGCCTTTGTTTGGGGATAGACCCGCCATTGGCACCCCTCAAGTCTCTGCATCAACACCGAGGAAGTTAACTGAGGGTGGGCAGCCGATGTATGGGGATCGACCCGCCGTCGGTTCTGCCCCACACCTCACACCAATTCCAGCTCCTCATCACAAAACCAGATTAGGTACCATCACGAAAAAGCCGGTAAAATGTACGTGACCCAAGTCACAGACATGCCTCGCCCCTCGAACCCCCAAATGACCCAACTTGAAAACATGCGATCCTTCGAGAATGACAATGGAGACGAGACTATGTTATACAGTCTTAACGACACACTATCAGCATTATCCGAAAGCGAAGGTGAAGAAACCTGTGTCAAACATGTATAGGATCATTGTTTTAACAATTTTAACACTTTTAACAATAACACCACCAACAAAACAAACCTCGAGGTATTTTATAGCACCGTAGATACTTTGACAGCCAACAAAAAGATAGAACTAGAAGAACATATCCGCTCTCACTCGCCAGACAGCATATGCTTAACCGAAGTTCTACCAAGACACGCATGTACCGAAACTGACCCGCAAGTGTACACACTAAATCAGTATGATATGTTTTTCGGACCAACCAACAATAGAGGGGAAGCAATATACTGGAAAAAAGGTATCACTACTCATGAAGTGGAATTTCAGGAGAACTGCATAGAATATGTGACATGTACTATCAAACTCAAAGGAACCGACACCTTACTACTATGCTGTATCTATAGAAGTCCAAACAGAACAGAAAACAACAACAACAAAGTCAATGAAGTTCTGCTTAATATTGGAAACCACCATGCCACACACAGTTCTGCTTAATATTGGAAACCACCATGCCACACACATACTGGTAGTTGGCGACTTCAACTACAAAGAAATCGACTGAGAGAACATGACTACTACAGTAGGCGACAACCACCCAGCCAGCAAGTTTTTAGAAACTACCATGGACAACTATTGGTACCAACATGTTAATGAGCCTACAAGATACCGTCACAAGCAAACCCCGTCGACTCTAGACCTAATACTCACCAACGAAGAGAATATGGTTAACAACCTGCAATACAAGGAGAGTCTTGGAAAAGTGACCATGTTATTTTAACATTCGATTATGATTGTTACCTAAACACCTGAAGCGGACAGACACCAAAAACAAACAGGACGAACTTTTACAAAGGTGATTATCCCACTATCAACACCGAAATCCTCAAACATGACCTGACGGACATTGAACATAAACAGGACGTGAACGAGGCGTGGAAATCTCTTACTGTATCCCTCCACAACGTTATTGAAAAAATTATACCCGAGAGTAAGGGAAGTAACTCCACAGCCTCTAGTTCATCGTGTCTGGACCAAACTGCCTGTGAAGCAAGAAAGGAAAAAGCTCGAAAGTGGACTAAATACTTTCATTGTAAAACACCTATAAACTTTGAAAACTACAAATCCGCTAGGAATAAATATATAATGCTATCAAGGAAATCAACCTATAACTATGACAAAGATCTGTCTGCAAAAATCAAGACTAACCCAAAATTCTTCTGGAAACATGTCAGGAATAAAACCAAAACCAAGACAACGGTGCAAAGAGTAGTTAAGAACAACTGAGAACTAAGGGAGAGAACCCAAGAAAATTTACTGGAATCCATAGAACTGACGCAAGAAAAAGGTATTACGGCCATTAAATCAACTAACCCCAACAAAGCTCCTGGACCCGACAACATACACTCAAAATTCATTGTTGAAACATGTGATGCAATAGCCAAACCACTACAAATCTTATTCAAAAAGTCAATAGATGAGGGTGCATTGCCGAACGATTGGAAGGAAGCAAACGTTACACCTATATTTAAAAAGGGTACCAAAAGCAACCCAGGAAACTATCGCCCAATTAGTCTTACCTCGGTTCAATGCAAAATTCTACAAAAAATAATCCGAAACGAATTATTGGCTTAGCTGGAGGGAAACGAAATATTTACCAAACACCAACACTGCTTCTGTCCAGGAAAATCATGCACCACCAACTATTAGAAATCCTGGAAGAATGGAACAAGACACTTGACGAGGGGGAAAACGTTGACGTAATTTACCTGGATTTTAGCAAATCCTTTGACAAAGTGTGCCATAGGCTCCTAATCTATAAACTGGAAAAATGTGGGATCAAAGGTCAAATCTTAAACTGGATTAGAGCATTCTTGACAGGCCTATCCCAACAAGTAATAATTAATGGAACTCCCTCAAAGAGTCAGTACTAATCGGGGTCCCACAAGGGATTGTACTCGGGCCAATTCTGTTCTTGATATGTATCAATGACATGCCAGATGTATTAGAGTGTACTACAAAACTATTCGCAGATGACGCCAAAATATCAGCCAACAATTCAACCCCTGAAAATCGAGCTAGACTGCAACAGTGTATCGACAGAATGTGCCAATGGACAGAAAATTGGATGATGAAGCTGAATGTGGACAAATGCAAGCATATAGAAATTGGACAAAAAAAAACAAGTCGTCCAACGACACGCTGACGCAATATGGAGACACCATCGAAATCACTAAGGTAAATAGTGAAAAAGATCTGGGAGTTCACATCGACGAAAAACTATTTTTTTCCATACATGTCCAAAAAGCAGCCAGTAAAACAAACCAAATTGCAGGAATAGTATTTAGAAGTTTTACATATATGAGCCCAACCATATATTTGCAACACTCTACAAAGCTCTTATATAACCCCACCTCTAATACGCCTCAACGATATGGTCACCCCTGTATACCAAGGACAAAATTACAATCGAAAAAGTCCAGCGAAGAGCAATGAAAAGAGTACCAACATTAACTGACAAATCATACGCTGAACGTTTAAGAATACTCGGTCTACCAACCCTGGAATACAGGAGGGAGAGAGCAGACATGGTCAAACTGTACAGAATCCTTAATAATAAGGATAAACTATTCCAACACTGCGAATACAGATCTACAAGCTTAAGGGGTCACTCCAAGAAGCTGTTTTAAAGGCCTTACAAAAAGCAGATCACAGGAAATTTCTTCAGTAATCGCACTATTAAACCATGGAACTCGTTGTCTGAGGAAGTGGTCTCAGCATCAAGCCTAAACTGCTTCAAGGAAAGACTAAACAAGTGCTGGAGAAATCACCCGTGGAAATGTAACCCTTCATTTTGGTATTAAGACTGGATCTACCATCCCAATACCATACTCAAGTGACTCAACTAAAAACATATAAAGATTGAGTTTTAATGCAAACTTTACAACAGAGTTGTAAACTTTTTATCTACACGTATGGGAACAAACGAGTGGAACTGTTTTAGAAAAATTAAATCATATTATTACTACAGACATTGCTACACTACTATGATTAATGAAATAATAAGTGCGCAACCGGAAAACTAATTCGCGAGTAAATGAAATAACAATGATGCATCACCACAAGCTTGAACTAGCTTTCATCGATGCCACATCAGCAATTCAGCAATTATTAGTCTATGACGTCATTACAATACTTTTTATAGTTTTTAAGAAACTTATTTATTTATTCATATTTATTCATAATTATTCTTGTACACGTACTAGAATAGTGTAGTGCCGCGTGGTTACCAATGCTGACGATGGATATACGTTTACCATAGCAAATGTAGAGCGACGGGTGCCCAGACGTGTTAAACAGCTATATATGACCTGCCGTACGCAAAGACTCAATGGAGTGAGCACGGCTTCTATTCAGTGACGCGAAGTGGCTGACATTTGTAACAATCTTCCTGAGGAGGTGGTCTCGTCTTATTTTATTGAAACACCTGCAAACGCCATCCGCACATGTTTGCTTCCCCTCAAGTTTTAACTGCAAATTCAACATTCCACCTGTGGTACTTCGAGTAGAACATTTTAGAAATAAGCTTTACATGTAGCCTAAGCATTGTTCCAGTCTTCTGCAATATTTTTATTCTTGTATTCTTTACGAATGTTGTAAGTTACTGTACCAAGATTTTTGTAACTCCATGCACCTGGAACCGCAAGGTCCGACTAAACACATATGTATACCAAGTCACAACTCTAGTCCTGGGCCCGTATCCATGAAACGGTTTTCATGCTCAAGCATTGATTTGATGCTCAAGACCAATTTCTTGTTTCAGTTGAAAAAGGAAACCTTCTTTTAATGATTTGGAAAGACATTGAAGAGACTTAAAGCCGAATACTATTTTCAATGTTACATTTTATTTTTTTATTTTTATTGTTTTACATGATTTAAGTGAGTTACAAGAAAGCTGGTTTGATCACAGAATCCATTCTTGAGCATGATAACAGTTTCATGAATACGGGCCCTGGACTTTCCGGTCTCGCTGCTATAGTAGTAACTTCTTCCCTAGAAAGGCAATAGTCCTTAAAGTAGACTTGTTCAAATATGGAACACATATGTGAAATTTGCTTTTGGAAAACAAAGGTGAAAGCAATATAATTTGTATTTGTTTTCAAAACCTTTTTATTTGAATTTCGTCTAATTCTTCGGTTAAGCTCATAATGTTCATATATATATGATTGTTGAGATACTGGTAGCAAGGTGCCCTAGCATAAATCAACGACACACTTCGTCCATTAGATGCGTTCCTCTTGCAGACATTTTGGCGTGAATGCCATCGGAAGTAGCTCCGCGACAGTGACCACCTTCACCGTCATATCCGGTTTGACCAGGTACAGAGGCATCTCCTCGTTAAACTAAAATATAGAACATGGTACGTTAGCAATCGGGTACTTTCCGTAAACCGACGGTTGCCGACTGGGTACAATTAGCTTGCTCTTTACAATATACGATGACTAAAATATAAATGTGGAAAAGTATATTGTTGTATTTCTGACGGTCGAATTTTACTTGGGAGCATAAACAACGATAAATCAATACATAAAACAAAATAGTGAGGGAACTGTCCATTTTTAAAAATCACAGTGATAATATACTAACAATAGCATCGCAATCTAGAAGACCATGGGAGACAGATGTGGCTGCAATCGGGAACCGTCGGCACTTTCCGTAAACGATAAAAGTATTTTCTCGTTGACGGAAAGTGCCGACGGTTCCCGATCGATGAGGCCGTGGGAGACAGAACGAGATACATTAGCTGACGCAACCGTAGATTAAAGGTCAGATCATATTTTCATATTTTGAATTTGATTGGTCAATTTCAGACCATAACTTCAAATTAAAAAAAAAATCGACCGGACTTTTGAACTACGCTTCCCACACCTAGAGCATACATACCTTCTAAACATTAGGCAATATTTCTGTATAGAAGTTCAAATGTTTAAAGTTGATGTAAGGCATATGGCGCAAAAACGACTCAAGCCATACATTGTGTACGATTAAACATGGATTCTGTTTATCATTCTGTGTATTTGTATTTCAAATGTTCAATTTTCGTACACCACCTGTTTATGTTAAAGAAGAAAACTATATGACCTCCACTAAACAGTCTACTGTTTTTTGGGTTGTTTTAGGTAAATGTGGCTACTCTTACGTGGGGCATGGCGTTATAACTGTTTCTGTTGCAATTTACCTCAGCAAACACCTGTCTGCAAGCACCGCATGAACCTTTAAAGTCGCCCTTGATATCACTTGAAACATAAAGATATATAATTAAAATAAATATACATATTTTTTTAAATTTAAGACCAGAACTCATGTGAAACTCAATGTTTAATCTGTCAAAATATTTTCCTTACATTTCCAAACGAAAGAAAGTCAATCTTGCTGCAGATGTAATATTAATGCATTAACACTAATTAATGACTTCAACAGTAATTATGAGACACATTGGATGATTCAGTGATACCTACAATCCTTTTATGAAGAGGTTGTAATGAAGTTGGAACGTGCAGATGGTATAGTGAGATTACGTTATTCATTAAGCAATATTTACAATCGTATGGCATTGCCAATATATTACCGGATCAAATTCAGCTGGCATTCATTTAGGCTATGAATGCCATGGACGATGGTTGACGTCATCATTATTATGACGTCATAATTTCTACGTTGGATACCACTGACCCTCCCTGTGCGATGGCTGTTCTATTCATTGAACAAGCATACGCTATACATCCGTTATTTGAACTAAATGCTGAATAATATTTGTAATTGAATTATTTAAAACTGATTCCAAATATGGTAAATATAAGTATTGAGCTGATTTTAGTTAATATTCATAGGCAATATAAATTCCAACTGGAGAAAGGCAAATCAAAAATGAAGCGCAAGCGTGCTTCATTTAATTTCCCTTTTTCCATTTGGCATTCACATTGCCTATGAATGCCAACTGAAAGCAGGTCAATGCTTAAATAAACTGCATGCTGAAGAGAGTTACAGTCCCGAAATTAACGCGTGTTAGGATTATAGGGATACAACTCGGAACAGTATGCAATTCATATTGATACTTTTTGTTTTGACAATAACGTTTTTTAAGCTCAAATTTAGGGATGATTTCCACTAAATGGAACAGCCAACAACCGGTATTGGCCAGCTAACGTTACGATTATGACGTCATAATTGTAATAACGTCATAATGATCACTTATGATCAATTTTATGGTTTCATTAACCATAGATAAATATGGTAGCTGTATATAGTACCAGAGCAAAGAAAATCTGAATATTGATTCATAAATTGTGACGGACAGCGATCTCGTTTCTAGATATAATTTTTTCCGGAAAGAGGGGTGGGGCGGACTTGCAAACATAACTTTTTACAGTCAAGCTACGCGCAAGAGGAGTTCATGCACATTTTGCTTAATTACGACTACCATTTCTTCAGTATTCGTTGTGTCAAAGTCACCTTTATACATATGAAAAAACAAACAACTATTTTAAAATAGTACAAGTTAGATTAATGCAGTTGTAAATTGTAATATACCAGGATATGGCGGCTCCCTTGAAGTCTGTATGTCCCTGGGCCACGGCGTTCCAAATAGCCACCCTCTCCGCGCAGACACTCATGCCGTATGAGGCATTCTCTACGTTCACCCCTGTTACAACATAATACCGAATACTCATATACAATGGCCTCGATAAAACAATCACTCATTCAAAGAACTGTACCTGGTATATAATCTTGAACTGAACTTAAACATTATGAGTTTCACTTTGAACTTATACACCACAAAACATGTCATTAAATGGCACCAAATTTGGTTTTTGTTTGTTTGTCTAATGACAGCATCTTGGACCAACTGATTTGGGGAGGAGGAATCGTAAATTGAAATTAGGGTCCAGGGATACAGCCCTGATTGTTGGGCCAGAAAGGGTTAGTCAGCTGCCGAAAATAGAATCCCAAAGGGCCATAACAGTCACCTGACAGCAGCAGAAGCGGTCAGAAGTTGGTATTAAATATTACAACACTTAGATAGTGGATGTAAAAGTTAACAGTATTTCGTTTAATGTAGAAATTAAGTTGCAGAGATTTCCAGTTGTTATAACAGGCCCCATCTTGAGTAAGATTATAATCCCTACCTTAGACTGATTATGACCACAAAATTTCATCAAAATATGACAGACGTTTTTTAAAATAAATCGACAATGTGTTGGTTTACACACGACGACTGACGAAAGGCGATTATAATAGGTCACGTGAGTGACTCAGGGAACTAAACCGGACATGTGCTTTGTGATACTTTAAATACACAGACTCTCGCACATCTATAAACAAGTATCAAACAAAGCTGAATCGAGTCATTTCGATACATAGATAACAACTAATTGTACATACACTTACAGCGTAGCCGAATCGACCTCAATTTGTGGACAACTCCTACATATTTTACACCTTTGTGTACATGAGGGTGACGGGGTATACATACCGTACTTTTCATCGAAACGTCACATGCATGCATAAACACGTTTTGGTTGTGCTACATGAATCTTTTCACAATTTAAATACACAACATTAAGGAATCATTGGACGTAATGGATTTTGACGATTTACCTACCAGTAACGATAGACCCATCAGCACAGAGGACAGAGGCACCGACCCGGAAGTTGCTGTAGGGACAGTATGCTTTGTCCTTGGCTTTGACCGCAGCGGACACCAGTGACTGTATAGTCGTGTCTGGAATATTTAACGACAGACTACTATTATTATCACCTATATATACTACTGTATACCACCTACAGGTAGCATGCTAAATTCATTAACATGGGTTGTCACCCAAAATGAAGCTGAAAACGACTTGAGAAGAACTTGAGAATGGATTTTCCCATTTGGGAATGTATTTTCTCAAAAAAAACACACAAAAAAACGTCTGCTAGCGTCAGATGACGTCACAAACCGGAAAAAAGTATGCACACAAACAAAAGATGATCCATGTAAAAAAAACCACCAAGTACGTCATTAAAAAATCAATATAAAGTTACGAAAAAATATTGTGAGGATAACAACACCATTTCAAGAGTAAATGTGCATATGACAATGACGATAAGATTGTTTTAAAATTATTTTCGACATAGTTTTAAGGTTCATAGTATTAGGTTCAAATCTTCTATTTGATTACGTTTGTCATAGACACAGATCGATGATCATTGAGCCTAGAAATCCTTTTGAAGATATGGTGTTTAGTTGTCATTTTATGAACGGAGAGATAAACAGTTTATCACACAATATTTACAGGGTTTGTCGTGAAAACAATTTTCTCATCGCTAGCACGTTGATAAAATCTCGAGTCGACCTGTTCACTTGTGGTGGACTCGACATTTTATCCACGTGCGAGCGATGAGGAAATTGTTTTCACAACATACCCTGAAAAAACAGCTGTACAATCAACTATCAGTGTAACTTATCTTGAACGTACTGAGACAGACATTCCGTTGACAATAAGCTCAGCCTGTAGCTTCATTTCATACACAGGGGTTTGTTACACATGTCTGAAATACACATGTGTTATACTGATATTGGTCATAGCAAACATTTGTTTATGTGTGCTGTGACCAACACAGCTGTCTGATATCGTGTACGCACATGGGTCTGATAGTGAGAAACATTAAAACAAGGCCGTAGTTTGTATAGCGATGTCGACGTGTATAACTATGACGTAGTTATGTTTAGTGATGTCGACGTGTATTACTGTGACGTATTTATGTTTAGTGATGTCGACGTGTATAACTATGACGTAGTTATGTTTAGTGATGTCGACGTGTATTGCTGTGACGTATTTATGTATAGCGATGTCGACATGTATAACTTTAACGTAGTTTGTATAGCGATGTCGACGTGTATTACTGTGACGTAGTTTTGTGTTGTGATGTCGACGTGTATTACTGTGACGTAGTTTTGTGTTGTGATGTCGACGTGTATTACTGTGACGTATTTATGTGTACCGATGTCGACGTGTGTTTCTGTTTCATTTCAAAAGTATTTTATTGACAATACATATATAATACAAGCATATAAGTTAACATTAAAGAAGACATTATAACAGAATTGACAAAAGAATAAGACAACAGGCTTTGCCTATATCAGTCTTCTTCTATTTCCGGTAACTATGTACAATGCTTAAATATATAAAATGTTGTAATTCATTTTCCTCTCACACACATGCACACCCACACACACATCAGCTTATGTCTAATACTCATTATTTAATGGACAAAACTTGCCTGAATAACAATAAAAAGTATATTTATATACGATTTTTTGGACAACGAAATGTTTTAACTTTAAATTACCCTTAAGGGCCTCATTCGGGGATCACCCGTATGGGGCCCCCAACGCCTCGGGTGAATCGGGGTCTCCCATTGGACAAGAGGTCATTGACCGAGTGGCGTCAGACAGCTGCGCTGTCTCTCACTGGAACCGGGGCTGAGCAGGACCGGGGCTGGTGAGGACCGTCAAGATAGGATAACTCGTCCGGACTTGGAGCATGATATAACAGTTGGATATCTTATAACTACATTTTATAGTGTATACGGTCCTCATCTGGGACATTCTTATCAGGAAATAGCGTAGATATTTTTCATTTATACATTTATAAACTAAAGGAAGATAATGTTCAGTGTATATGGTCATTTAAATGGTTGTATTAATTGAGGAAATAGAACCACGACTTATAAGAATGGTTATATGCCGTATAGTTTATAACTTAAGCTGTGAGCGTTAACGGTCCTGAGCAGGGACATCCTGATCAGGAAATCTAGTACTAATTATATCCGTATTGATGGATCAAATACATGAAGGTGGCAGTGTTTACAGTCAAAGAGAGGAATAAGATG